TAAAAATATTAATTAAAATATAAAATTTTAAATAATTTTTTAAAAATTATTTTAAAAGATGAAGTACAAAACACTTTCCTATATTTATATATGCACCATCCCCTGCAACATGCTGCATAAGCGTTCTAGGCATATACCTCAGTGTAAAAATTTTATCTAGCTTCTTTTTTTATTTTTTCTTTTTCTAAATATTAATTAAAATATAAATTTTTAAATAAATTTTTTGAAAATTATTTTAAAAGATGAAGTACAAAACACTTTCCTATATTTATATATGCACCATCCCCTGCAACATGCTGCATAAGCCTTCTAGGCATATACCTCAGTGTAAAAATTTTATCTAGCTTCTTTTTTTATTTTTTCTTTTTCTTTTTCTTTTGGTGAATTATCCAGCTTCTTTTATCCAACAGTGATCTTATTTTTCTTTCTGGTCTTTATTTTTATTCTTGCTTGTATCTTCCCACGAGGCGATGCTTTCAGAAATACAGAAAAACAGTATTAATTAACATTGTCTATTCTCAACTTATTGCATAGATTCATTTGGGTGGATCTTGAGTCTAACATATATGAAGGCACTACTGCATATCTTACTATGCAAAAGAGGCTACGAGACCCGTACGTATCATCGAATTTCTCATGGTTTTTTGCATCTTCTGTAACAATTCCACGCTCGGAATCAATAAACAACCAGCGCTTGATAAAATCCAACCATTTCAATACCGAGTCGAATGTCAAATTCATGTCAAGTGTTTGGTATTTGGTGTTGTTCCGTCACAAGGTTAAAAGAAAAGGAGTTGAGTTCATTTATGAAAGTGTTTTTTTTCTGTTAGAATACATTTGCTGAAATTTATTGCTTTAAAACCAGGAAGAAAGAGAGAACTCCATCACTTAATTGGAATTTCTCACAAGGAATGCTACTATACATCTCAATCCAGCATTCTCAAGAACCTGATGAACCAATGTCAAGAGTAAAATGACATTAAAATTGATCTGAAATTAGAAAGGCAATGATAAACAAGAATTTAAATAGTTTTGAAAATTAGATTGGATCAACTGATCAAACCAATTGAACTGATACCAATAATGTAAACGGATCAGGTACATTTTTAAACCGTTTAATTGGTTAAATCGTTTAAGATGGTTAAAACTGTTCAAACTAGTAAACTGTTTGACCCGACGGTTTAATACTTGCACATAAAGTCTTCTGAAATTTGTCTTTTGCTCGATTCGAACTTTCAACGTTAAAGCTTTTGCTCCAATCCTTCACTACCAGAGCAACAGGAGTCTTTTGTTAGTGAGTGCCTGAAAATTTAGTTATCTCATAAAAATTCAAAGATTTTAATCAATTTGTTTATGGAAAAATTTATCTATAGTTTTTTGCATAATAATGTACTTATTCTATTTTTAAAAGTACTATTATATTAAAACTTGTTCTAACAAGGACTCGAACATGTAACTTCTTTAAAGAAAAATTAGATTCTTTCTAGTATAATCAACATGCACCCCATAAAAATTTTTGTATAATAATATATTTATAATATTTTAATTAATTGTGATGACCATTTAAATTGAGAATCAAGTCAAAATTGATTTGACTTCCTATTCAGTTTTAAAAACATTGACGTTGATTGATAAAATTGTTGGAGCTGCGGTGTTAAAACCGCAGGAAATGGCAACAAATTTACATTTTGTCAAAAGTTTTAGGTGTAAAGTTATGGCCTTCCTTATTTCAGGGATGTCTGTCATTGTAGTCAAATATTACGTGAAGAAAAGAATCATTTATGTTGTAGTTTCTGCTACCTAGTCAAGACAAAGGAAAAAACTGAGTTGGAGAACATCTTCTCCTCCTCTCCTGGTCCCCTCTCATCCTTCGAAAAAACTGTTAACAAAAATCCATTGTGCAGAACGAAATATTGCCATAACAACGTAAATTTTTGTTGTTAGTCTCCAATTATGGGTTTTCTCAAAGCAAAACTGCAAGGATCTACAAATTTGGAGACCAAAGGTTGAATGATTAAAAGAAAGTAAAACCAAATAATCTACCAACTAATACATC